CTCTGTGTGTGTGTGTGTGTGTGTGTGTGTGTGTGTGTGTGTGTGTGTGCCTCTTGAGAGCTCATGATTTGTTGGAAATCCGGAACAACTCGTTCACTGCTTGCATCAAAAAGTAGCGTTGAAAGTTCTACCCCCACCCCCCCAAAAAAAGAGCAAAGCTTGACAGAGAAGTAGAAGGGCTGTATAGGCGTGTAGGCGCGGCGGTGTGTTGGCGCCTTACTTGAGATGACGTAGTTGATCTGTGAAACTGAAGCTCCGGGTACATTACTAATTTGAGTGAAATCTCTAAAGCATCAGAAAGGAGGGATAGAGAAACGGCCAGCCGGTGCGAAACATAGATGACCATGAAGCACGGACAATGCATAAGTGAAACAAAATTAACTACCTTGTTATAAATCCTTGCTCGGGTAGAGATCACAAGTTCCGCTTCTCGTTGCACGTCTGCAAGCGTCAGGATTCCCTGCAAACATCCCTCCTCCGTCACAACAACAGCGCACCATTCCTTGTCGTGAATCATCCTGCTTACTGCCTCGCTCACAGCGGTACTGCTCTTCACTGTCAAGAACTGAGTTCGCATTGCCTCTCGCACACAAATCTCCTCCATTAGTTCATCCTCGGTCAGATCGATCTCTGACAAGCAAAGAGACGAGTCCAAATGGCACAAGGCCTCGTTCTCCTCTTCAGCTTGAGCCCTGGTACCCAGGTCCTCCTCAGAGTTCGGCGTCCCATTCCGTTCCGGTCCCAGGGGTCCCGTGCTTCCTGACGCCGCCCGGGCCCAGTTTACGATCTCTTTCAATCGGGACCGGAGTACGAAAACCCCCCTCTCAAGCACCGCTAGCGAAGGCGGCGAAGCCGCCGCCTTTGCCGAGGAAGATGAGGAGGAGGAGGGCGCTACATTCGATCTGGCCGGGGAAGAAGCGGGACCTGAACCCTGCGTCTGTGTCCTCGAGCTCTTCTGTGCCACTGATGCAATCCAAGATGAAATCCCGACGGCGCCCATAAGCGGGAGAAAAATCCTGTAGTCTTGTGTGAGCTCAAAAAGAAGGATGATGGATGTCAATGGCACTTGACAAACCCCTGCCAGGGTGGCTGCCATGCCCACCTACCATGGGTCAAGCAAAGGGGCACAGAAAAGGAGACACAGGGCACACCATCATCATACATGAAAACTGGACGTCCAATAGCGTTGACATTTTTGCAGTGTTGGGAAAAGCCGAACACGCGTGATAGAGAAACACGTGTGATAGAAAAACGCGAAAGAAGCTGCCGACTGGGTTAATATTTGACAAGGTTTTTTTTTTTTTTTTTTTTTTTTTTGTGTGTGTGTGTGTGTGTGTGTCTCCTTCCATTTTCAGACCTGTCCACTTTTTGGGGGTAGTTAGTCAGGGATAATGGGGAACAGGGGTAGCATAGCAGGTAGAGTGACAATTTTATCAAAGTTTAGCTGGATAGGACTGGGTACTGTAGGTACCGTAGTGTTACATCTTCGACGCCACACGGGTCCTACCGGACCCGACTTAGGGCTAGAGGGACACATCAGGGCCGAAAGGCCCGACCTTGGGGTACTACAGGCCATAAAGGCCTCACCTTGGACCAGACCCGACGGGCAGGCCCAAACGACATTACCGTTTGGGCCTGCCGGCGCTCTTGAGGCTGCCGCCCGCCAGTTGGGGCTGAACTGTCCATCTGGACGGTTCAGGGCACGGCCAGGCCTCGCAGCATTGAGGCCGGCCTCTGCCTCACCGGTATATAGAACCGGTCCGGCCTCACTTCGAAGCATCGACCCACCGGTATACGATACGGTGCGGTAAGGTCGGCACCAGAGTGCCGTTGAAGCGCTATGTTTAGCGCAGGAGCGAGGAGCAGGCAGCGCAGCAGCAGCGGCGACTGGGTTACCGGCGGTCATAGCCGCCTGAGGTACCGGGAGTTGGAGGTTTCTCTCCTCCCTCCCATCGCCAGTCCCCTCTCGCTCCCTCTCCTCCTCGGCTCCTTCTTCTTCTTCTTCTTCTCCTTCTTCTTCTTCTTCTTCTTCTTCTTCTTCAGATTGGAGACCTATACTAGTTGGACAGAG